TTTCGATAACATGAAGAGGGGTCAACAAGAAGACGCTGAGGAGTTTCTGGGGTTCTTGCTTGCTGGACTGCACGACGAGTGCGTGCATATCATCAAGAGTGGGAAGCAGAGCCAGCCCGCAGAAACCAGTACATCACCCAATGCTGAGCGCTCAGGATCTATTGACGGCGGCTGGGAAGAAGTCGGACATAAGCAGAAGACCGCTATCACGCAGAACTCTGGTGCCATTGACATTGAGAGCCCGATCACGAAGATATTCGGTGGCAAGCTGCGCTCGGAATACAAGAGACCCGGTGAGAAGCCTTCTGTTACGTTGGAACCGTACCAACCGCTTCAACTTGATATTGGCGAGTCCAACATCAACAACATCTCCGATGCCCTCAAGAACTTGACACGTCTGGAGACATTGGACGGTGCGGCTCGCGGGGCCAAGGCCTCTACAAAGCAAGTGCACATTGAGACTCTCCCACCAGTCTTGATACTTCATTTAAAGCGCTTCCACTATGATGAAAAGGGACCACAAAAGATCTGGAAGAAGATTGGGTATCCCCTAGAGCTAGAGCTCCCTAAAGAGGTCTTCCCGCCACACAAACGAGGCAGCTATCAGATTCAAGGAGGCTTCCCGCGTTACAGGCTCACTGGCGTTGTGTACCACCACGGCAAGAATGCGAGTGGCGGTCACTATACCGTCGACCTTCGACGTCAGGAGGGCAAGGAATGGATCCGTATGGATGACACCATTATCCGTCGTGTCCGCGCAGAAGAAGTCGCAGAAGGCGGTGCCGAAGAGGATCCCAAGGTCCTGGCTGCCGCTCTCGAACAGCACAAAAGCGACGCTGGTAAGAGCAAAAATTTCTTCGCACAGATCGACATGGAAGAGGAGGAAACCGACAAGGGAGGTTGGAACCAGGTCAACGGGACAGAGAAGCAAAAGGATGGGGCCAAGAAGTGGGCTGTCGCCGTCAACGGTGCTGCGACACCCAACTCAGCGGGTAAGAGGACGCCACTACCCAAGGAGAACGTGCGCGACAACAAGGTGGCATACATCTTGTTCTACCAGCGTATCGAGACTTGAACCAAAACCAAAACATGTAGTGAAATGGTCTAGCTAGGTGGGGGGTATGATGATCCAGCGTTCACATACACACATGAACCAACTTTGACATGTCAACACAAAAGTTTACTGCAGCATCTACGACCTGGGAAGAAAACATATATGGGTCACGATATTTATGCCAACGACGCGTGGATCAATCCTATGCATCGCGTCCTCACGCGGTATATGGGAGGGGGAAGAGTCAGGAGTAGTAACGTCACGTCGCATGAGAGATACCCCTTGTGATGTGTGGGGGGGTTTTTCTAAGATATGACGGAATAATAAAACAATTCAACATTTTCACCATCTTGCTTTTCATATCTCTCTCTCCTGTGATTGATATTACTAGACTGCCTGTGATTTTGTCTGCATGGTGTTTTGATGGATTGCTTGGGAACATCGGTGTACGTGAAGATTTTCTATTTTGTTGTAATCTGGTGGAATTAGTGTGCTAGGGGGAAAAAAGCTAGTTGGGGATCTTGTTCCAGTCTTGATAAAAACAAAGGGTGGATGATGAGTGCGTGAGGCGGATGGGAGCTGGAGGGTCGAATTAGATATGATATTGAGGAAAGGCTCTCTATGTTGCCTAGGTTGAGTTTTGGAGTGGGTTGGGAAGAAGGGGTGAGGAAGAGAGGGTAGAGGTGTCTTATAGCTTTGGATGATACATGACGGCCGAGTAAGTTTGAACGCGAGAGGAGGGTAGCATCAATTGGAGCAGAGAGAGGATAAATATTACTCTACAGCGAATTAGCCGTTCAATGCTATAGGGGAAGAAACATGAGTGGAATGGTATAACATCATAGAAGCAGATATGAAGGCTCCACGTTGTCACAACCAGCACTTTTATCCATGCAGTCCACGAAATTGAAGTACAAGTCCTAAGATTGTGCCTTGAGATAGGTGATAATAGTGATTGAAGGATGCAACCCGGGCCCGTCCAATGTGCCCGCATTAGCGTTACGCGGGGAAGATACCGAAGATACCTCGGCTCCTACGCGCGCAAGTCCATCCACCATCCTCCCAGCAGCGACCATGTAGCATTTCATACCACTCCCGGTCGCCCCAGGGCTCCCTATACCATTCAACTCCCCAATCGAAACAGCGACAACAAGCCCGACGGCAGCGACCCTCCTCGACGAACCTCTGTCTCGACGCGCCGCTCTCCCATCTATCCACCATGTCGTCCATCAAACCCCAAACAGCACCACCTCCCACCACGCACGTCCTCCTCTCCTACCCAGCCGACTACGTCCTCCTCGTCACCATCAACCGCGAACGACAGATGAATTCGATTCCCTTCGAGGGCCACCTAGAAATGGGCCTCGTGTTTGACTGGTTCGATCACGAGCCCAATCTACGCGTTGCCATTGTTACAGGAGCCGGCAAGAAGAGTTTCTGCGCAGGCCAGGACCTCATTCAACTCGGCAAGATACGTAGTGGGGAGCTCAAAGCGAGTCCGGGGTTGATGAGGCATCCGTTGAGTGGGTTTGGGGGGCTGAGTAGGAGGATGGGGAAGAAGCCGGTTATTGCTGCTGTTAATGGGTTTGCGCTGGGTGGAGGGTTTGAGATTGTCTTGGGCTGGTATGTTTCTCTGCTTCCCCCTTTTTCTCTCTGTCTTTTGTGCCTCTGGGATGGAGATGGGAGTGTACTAATTCGTTTTCTACAGTGACATGGTAGTAGCAGCACCACACGCAACATTCGGTCTCCCAGAAGCGCTTCGCGGCATCTTCGCCGGCGCGGGAGGCCCACCACGTCTCGTCCGCAACGTTGGACTACCCATCGCATCTGAAATGGCATTGACCGGCCGTCCCATCACCGCACAGCGAGCCAAGGAGCTCAACCTCGTGAACCGAATATCGCCATCCCAGGATACCGTCGTGGAAGAGGCATTGAAGCTGGCGAATGAGATTGCGGCCATTTCACCCGATTCGGCAATCGTCACACGGGCTGCGCTAAAGGAAGCTTGGGAAACGGGCAGTGTGGAGCGGGCTACGCAGTTGACGATTGAACAGTATAATCACGGATTGAATGCGGGTGAGAATGCGCTCGAAGGGCTAAAGGCTTTTGCTGAGAAACGGAAACCGAATTGGCGGCCTTCTAAGCTGTAGATGTGAGATTAAGAGATATTGGGCTCGCTAGATCTACGCTTTTAGCAGTAGGTAGCTTACCGTTTTGCACTTGCATTTTCGAAAAATGCTTCAGGCGTTCTTGCTCGGTATCAAGTGGCTAAGTTGTTCCTCGCAAAGACGAAACTTTGTCAGTCATCATGTATAATGACAAAATTTGGCAATGTTTTCCTGTACAGGTACTGAGTAATTTCGCAGGGGCTAGAATATCTAATAGATACAAGCTTCTTCTTACACTATTCGTCCACCCTCACATGCATGAAGCTGATGGCTTCCATAAATCCCAGGGTAGTATCTCAGCGCCAGCCTTCTCGAGCTGAGATTCTACCTCTCCTTCGATAGCCCCCGCGGGCTTGTCACCGATGTCGTAAGTAGAGTGCGCACCTCTCAATAAGACGACATTGAATCCAGCCGCCAACGCACCTCTGCAAGTCGAAAGCACGCAGCATTCGCTCTGTATTCCAAAAGCCACAATCGTCTCTACACCCTTCTTCTTCAGCTGATCCGCAAGTTGCGGGTTGGACTCAAAAGCATCCCCTAAGAGCGTTTGTCAGAAAATCAATAGAAATGGCATCAAACTTCAAGAATTCCGTATTACTCACGGACGTTCTTTGACACCAGTGTTTCCCATATGTCATTGTATCGTGGCTTGAACACGAGCTCCCAGGGTTTGCTCCCTTTCACCAAAGGTCCTTTCTCTGCGACCTCCTCATGCTGCATAAACACAATCTCCAAATCTGGCGTTCGTCCATGTTTGTCAACTGAGTCGATGGCTTGACGTGCTCTTTGCAGGATACTAGTTCCGGCTTCTCGAATTCGCTCCGCGTGTGGTATCTCGGTCGTTGCATTTTGCGCCAATTCGACTTGTATGTCGATCACAAAAAGTGCCGTACGTGCCATGGCGGACTCCGCGCTTTGCATGTAGTGGTCACGTTCTTTGTGACAGTCAGGAAGCCTTTGTAAAGTTGTGCATGCCGATTGTAAGGCGTGTGAGTCATTGTATCCGCGGAGCTACGGTACTGCCAGTGGAATGCTGGTATCATCGTGCACAAGCTGCTTGAGAGACGTCTTGTCGCCAATCTGCTGCTCTCTACAGAGATGGGAAACAACTGATATTTAGCAACTGATTTCATCAACATCTCAATGTACCCTTCCAAGCTTCGCCTAGAAGCTGGGCTACTTTGGGTTACTGTCGTGGGAATCCTTCGCTTACAACGATCTCACGGAATCGTCGCTTGCGCAAAGGGTGAGAACGGTCTTTCAAGGCATCGTAGCCCCCGATGTTTACCAGCAAAACAGTGGCCGAATTATTTCTCGCAAGGACGAAACTTCGTCCGTTGTGGTATATGAGGACAGGCTTCGGCAATGCTTTCCCCAGCACCCGACGTCAATCAGCGTCTCGCTGATCTCTATAGCCAATAGTCGTGCACCAAGCTTCAGGAGGCTGTCTTGTCAAACCCCGATAGAGTTAGCACAGGATGCGGAAAAGCGTAATTGTCGCATGCATTCTACCTACCCCATAACCCCACCTTCCCCCGCATTATGGCATCCGGATGCCGCTAACTCAACATGATGTCGAGAACCCGACTGAGGAAAAATCCCTCGGTAGGCGCTATCAGAGGCGGATTATAACGTAGCATTTGTCGCTAGGATAATTAGTATTGACTCGGTTACATTGACATTGTATTGGAATGAATCTGAATCGTCTATCACTGACTTGCGCTGCGCGATTCGAAAAGGAGCTAACAGGCTTGCTTTGACATCGTACTTGTTCTGCCATGGTGGACCGACGAGCTAGCGACGCAGCTCCTCCACTTCAGACGCCCATTGCCCCCGTTGCAAAGCGGAAACGACGTGCCTCCTGCCTGGGAGAACAGGAGCGACGCGAGAGAAAGAGAGCTATTGACCGCGAAGCCCAGCGCTCACTAAGAGAAAAGACCAAAACGCATATTGCAGAGCTGGAGCGAACTATACAGATACTCCGAGATCAAGATCGTAATGGAGCGACCGCGAGTCTACTGTCTGAGATTGATAGCCTGCGAGTGGAGAACGAACGGCTGAGAGATGTAATCGATAGCGTCAAAAGCGTGGTGGGACTGGACTTTGGCGTGTCCGGTAAGACTGCTGCGACAGTAATGCCACGTCCACGGGCAGATGATGGTGGTGATGAAGGCACCTCCCCTGCTGCGACCAGTGCCGGTACGCATGACTTTATATCATTGACTCTTGATCCTGCAATGGCTCACTCTAGATGGTAGGCCATCAGTCACCTAAGCCATGCGCGATCTCGTCTAGCAGTGCGACAAAACCATGTCCATCAACACCCATCGATCAAGCAACTACTTTTGTTCCGTCTGCGGTCAAGCGACCGCTCGATCTTGATGGCATGACGGTCATGACAGACCTGCATCCACCGGTAATGCTGGCAAATCAAAGTCAACAAGTCGAAATGGAGCTCGACCTCCAACCAGTTCGAGAAAGCTCAGAAGAAGGGGAGGTAGAAGACTTACCCTGGGGCAATGCACCAGCAACAGCGACCTGGGCACCCATGATGGAAGAAGTACGCTCTTCTGTGTCTATTCGTTGTTTCCTCTGCCGACTGACCCGCTCTTTCTACAGATCTTCGGTCCGAACTGGCGTTGTCCCTCGCCTACTATCCTCCACATCGGCAATCCAGACAACCCAACCTCGAACTTTTCCTCGATCTGCCCCGTCTGGAAAAAGAGCAACGAGCTCTTCGGCAAAGTCTTCACCTACCATTATCGTTCCCCAGGTGCCACGAGCAGCTCTTCTTCCTCCAACAATAGTCTAGTGCGGTCTGATACTGCAGAAGCAGGACTGCTCTACCTAGGCATAAAACAGGGTTGGGACAACTTACCCTCACTGGAATGGATGAAGAGTCCAGCGCTCACAATCTTGAAACAGGTTGACGAGCTGCTTTTCAAGCATCTGCCCAACGTAGAGAGGTTGGCTGTGGCGTATAAGAGTTTCAAGTTGCTCAAGGTACGTTGAAATTCACTTCGAACATTGAAGAGACATGGAAAACAATGTCGGAAGCTGTAAGACGGGAAGCTAATATAGAAACAATCGTGCAGTATTATCTCAACGCGACAAAAGAAGAATTGGATAAAGTGCCGCACTGGCTTCGCCCAAGGTAAACTACCCACCCACCCATCTACACTGCGTTACCACTTATCTATCCCCCAATCGAGCCAAGTTCCCCTAACACCCACGTCTCCAGTTTCTCACAATCATCCACCTCTCACCCCATAGCCCTCGATTTCTTCGCCTGGCCCACCATCCGCTCCCGCTTACTCAACCACCACACCACAATCTTTCAAACTAGCGCAGGTGCCGATCTTTCCAGCTGCTACTCGCGCTTCCTGCGTTTCGACTGGCCGTTTGCCTTTGGAGATGCTTTCTTCCTCGATGAGGATACTGGCATGCATTACCCTAGTCCGCTGTTTGAGCGCTATCACGGAGACTTGAAGTATTGGTCGGTGGACGAGCAATTCTTCGATACATTTCCAGAGATGAGGGGTGATATTGAGGGTGATCAGAGAAACGCAAGCGCAGGGAAGGTGTAAAGGAGAGCATCCGTGTCTTGACTTGATGCGCGATTTCCTGTTTCGCGGTCGTGTCTCCAGATACAAAAATCTTCAAAGGATACAGTGCAAGGGTCTCTCTGGATCTAAATATATTTTGCTACTAGGACGTCGAAAAATATAATGAATAGTCCGATGACTGTACGTATCAAGTGCACGGACGCGGTGGTTATCAGCGGCTATCGTGCCTAGTAATCTGATGCTGCGCTGCGATGGATGACCAAAGCAAGATGACTCAACACTCTTTGGAAGCTTGTAAGCTGATGTCCCTTGGCACACCGACCGTCCATTATTGTTTCCAGGGAAAATAGATCGACATGTCTTTACGACGCAAGTCCTGCAATGCTTGCTTCAAGAGCCGTCGGAAATGCAATCGAGATTACCCCACATGCGCATCCTGTCGGAGGACCAAGAAGGATTGCCATTATGCTTATGCGAGAGTTTCCCAACCAGGCCTGCCGGATGATTTAGTTTCGACAGAGAGCGAAAATACAGATAGCGACTACCTCGTGGATACTCTTATGACAGCCGGGATTGGGGGCTCTACAGCTACAGACATGCGACAGCCGAACGATGCTATAACGTCAAGAAGCCAGTTCAGCTTTACCAGTCAGCAATGCAGTCCCGCTATGTTCCCGTCACGGATACCGCCAACATTGCCAACATCGAGCATACCGAGTTTCCTCGGCGGTCTTGGTGAGTTGCAGCGCGTGGAGGGCAGCACAGAAAGCTGGCAGTGGGTCATCAACGAGCTGAAGCGCTGCCCACGCGACTTGGCCATGCGCGGCGAAACACTATTTTTACACAAGGAGCTATATCTTAGCATGATGCCGGCGGCGATCCGAACAGCCTTGGGCCTGTCGGCGACGTATTGCTTGCTCAACGAAAGCAATCGACATGTCATGTTCCGAGCCATCGATGCCGAGGTATTTGATTTACTCCAGACGCCTTCATTGTCGGGAGTAGATATAGCCAGAGCGAAGAGTGGACAGGATGGCGGCATGACTCTGATCGAGGAGTTGGCGCGGCTGCAGGCGCTCATGGTGTATCAGATGATACGTATGTACGACGGAGGGCTCGAGCAGCGCGCTCTCGTTGACCTCCAAAGAGGCATAATGACCACTCGGGCGTTACAGCTACTTAGGAGATTGCGAGCGGAGCGTGACAATGACCACGGCTGGCACGCCTGGATTATCGCTGAGAGCATTCGTCGCACTGTCTTGACGATCTACATGTTCTATGCCGTGTACTCTATAGCGATACATGGTTTCTGTATCGATTTCCCTACGATTGCAAAACTTCCTGTGTCGACGTCACCGGAGTTGTGGCACTCTGGTGATCTTCATTCGCCGCAGTGTTGGAGCAATGAGATGGGGCAGACATTGTCATATGAGGCTTACACGGAGGCGTGGATGGTGTCGCCACATGTTACGTTGCTTCCGTTTCAGAAATTCCTTGTTGTTCCTTGCAAAGGACTCGAAGGCGTTGCAGCGTATAGTGATACGGCATTGTAGCCGTGACTCACTATCTTTTTAGATTCATGTTTCGTATTTCTAACTACTCCATCTCGCCGCCTCTGCTTCTGCATTACTACTACAGCAATCCCCTAATAGTTATCACCATCAGTCGTGTTATTTCCGGCACCCCTGCTGTCGGTAGTAGAAAGCAGTGCAAGCCTCCCTTGTTCACCGGCGGCTACATCATATATACCGTGCCTTAGCGACGACGCTTATTCATTGTAAAAGACACCCACTCGCTCCATTGCTTTCCATCGAAACGCTTGGTCTTTGGGCGACTTCGATATGCTCATCATTCACCAACTACTAATCATCATCGAACTCAGTCAGCTTGACGAACTCAGCGAATGGGAAGTGAGTAGACGTACCTAGACTCTCAGACGACAAACAATCTTGTTGCACAGCGCTATTTCCATTTGTGTAACACGAATTGAAAGGTCAACACATGCTAATCGGTCATTCATACAACCGCCCCTTGCGAACTCTCGAATATTCCGCTTTCTCAACGCCCTGAGCAGCGATTACCAGGTTTCCGACGTCAGACTTGCCCTCCGCATCGGCAAAACGGAGTCTCAGGTCCTTAAGCAGCCTGAACCGGTCCGCTGCAGGGAGATACGATCCACTGGCAGGAATTGGTACGCAGGAATTGTTCCTCGTGGCCAGGCTCGAGAAATTTATCGCTATATCGGGGCCGGTGGTGAGGAAGTGACGGACTATAGGTGGAACGAAGCTGGATGCGATGAGGACGAGGGATGCGATGGCGAGTGTCATAGCCCAGGACATATGGGCTTTGACAACCTCGATGTGTTCGTACTTGTTGCCTTGTGATGGCCACACCCTCGATTTGTAGTTCAGATTGTTCCATTCAAGGTTGTCGTATGTCCAACCATAGTTCTCTGTGGAGTTAGAACCGTCAGGGTCGATTTTGGGCGGCTCAAATGTAATGTTTGAGCTCCCGTCCCAATTGTAAGCAGTGTCGGCGTGAATCCCGCCAGTTATGGTGTAGACACCATATATGCAGGTCCAGTACGAATTTAACAAGTGACCGAGTCTGTCAGACCAAGCCTCATCAGAGATCTGTGATTCGTTGCTGCTCTGATACACGGTCCCCCCAAGAGAGGGATCCTTCAAGTATCTGTCAAGGACGCTGTTCCCAATAGTGTACTCTCCCTGTTCGCCTACACTCGAAAGGAAGCCACTCATGAACATACGTGCATTGTATCCTTGGTCTAAGTCCATCAAGGTAGATGCGGGTGAGAGTTGGGGCAGTTGCGAGCGGCGCACTTTGACAGCTCGACAGGTCGAATTCATAGCGCAAAAAACCTCAACTTCTACATAACTGTTTTCCGTTGAGCAGGAAACACTGCTTTGATCATTCCAGTATAACTTGGAATAAGAGAAACTGAACGGTTCCAGTGTCTCGACCGCTTTTTTCGATCTGTTTACTACGTCGTTCTCTGACCACCATATGACCTTGTTCTTGCTAGTAGTGTTGGAAACGCCTGAAGGCAGTTTTAGCACATTAACACTCTCCGTTTTTTTATCGGACGCGCATATTAGGTGGAGATATTCCGTTTGAATATGGAAGTCATAGTCGGTTGTAGTTGTCTCATCTCGACCACCATCTGTGGGAATACCCACGAGAGACGTATAAGTAGCTAAATCATCGTCACCTAACCTGGTATTGAACCAGCCGTCACTGTCTGGTTCTGCTGTCTTCTCGTAGTGCTCGATCTTAGGTATTTTGACGTTGCCCCATAGATCGATCGGAGAGGCTTTCGTACTCGAGGAACCAATAATGGCGCTGATCACAAGATTTGTCGTGGTCGTACCCGTCACAACCCCGGCATCCTGTTTCCTAGTCGGTATAACATATTGGAATGACGCATCACTGCGTTTCCCCACCGTACCAATGGACATTTGTCGGAGCGATGCTTGACCGCCAATAGGTGATAGTGCCCATAACATAACGAGCAAAACACTCGTGATGTTGATTTGACGGAGGTGGATCTGTGATGTTACCGTGCTCGTGAGGGATGTGCTAGTTGCTAACGAATCGAGTATCTGGATCCGTTCACCCTTCTCTAGGCGCCAGAGAAGTATCGCGTGGGTTGCTCGCCCAACGACGGAAGCGAAGAGAATCGGGAAGATGGTAGGACTCTATCAATAACTTTGTTAGTTCCCAGGTAATTCTGATGTCGTGCGCGAACTCATACATATTTAGTGGCTCTTATTAAGCCATCGACAGTCATCGGGTTTTCGCTTGTCGGAGCGTCGTCGTGATACATGACTACCAGCGAAAAGATAAGGAAGCATGACGAGAACAAGCATAAAGCAATGTCAAATGCCCCGTTCAGCAGCATTGTAGACAGAGAACGCTTGATACGGCTTGGCGATGTTGGCCAGCCTTGTGGCATAAGAGTTGCATCGTTGAGGTCAAGAAGAGGCGTCGCTGTTGTTACTAACTCGTGTTTGGGTTCGACATGGAATGACAATGTAGACTGGCCTGCCTCGCGATGGAGACTCTGAGTATCTTCCATGATGCTGTTGGAGTGGCCGAGACGTGAGGAAGTAAAGAGCGAGGAAGGAAGGCGAACGATATTGCAAGATCAACAAAAACAACAGCTCACTACCGCATGTATACAGCCACGGGCTGATATCTTGTCTCCAGAGTGGCTGCTGTTCATGGTGCGGCTGAGCGAGGCTGGCCTATCGCAGAAGCTGTATTCAGCCTCCATATGCAAGGATAAGACACGCGCGCCACATCAGATCCGACGCGTCTTTATAGATCTGTGAGATGGGTGGAAGTTTGAACCGCAAGTTCTGTACCGTGGTTGAAACTAGAGTGAACTGGCCATCCTGAAGACAAGTTGGGTATCATTATCGAGAGAAAACTTGCCAGCTATTAAACCCTGCCTCCGTGCAACATCACACTCTATGATTACTAAATCCTCTCACTTCCCCCTCCCCTTCCCACCCCGTTTACCCCCTCTACCCCCCGTCTTCCCCTTCTTCTGCTTCTCACTCAACGACCCATCAAGCAGCGCAGTAAAAGTCTCGCTGCGCGTCTTAGGAGCATCATCCGGTGTCGGAACCACAGACTCCTCGTCCTGCAAGTTCTGCGTCGAAAGCCTCGTATTCCTCCTTCTTGTGACGCGCTCCTCGGCTCTTGAGGGCGTTGCTTCAACGTCTGTGTCTTGTGTCGGTGTCGCGACGACGTCGATCGTGTCCGAGTCTTGTTTGTTGTTGGCTTTTGGTGCTGCTGCCTTTTTGTCCTTCTTGGGGGGACGGCCGCGCTTCTTGGGTTGTGGTGTGTCGATTTCGGGCGAGGGTTCTGCTTGCGATTTGCTGTCGTCCTCCTTGTTATCGGCGTCGGCTTCGGTGCTCTCCGCGCTCTGTGTTGCCTTCTTCCCAGCCTTCTTCGTCTTTGACTTCTTGGCTTTTGTCTCCTTCTTCTGCTTCTTTGACGTTGTCTGGCTGGACGATGTGGCTTCCGAGTCGATTTCCGTGCCATCGGCTGAAGTAACGCGGGCTTTCTTGGTCGCCGGCTCTGTTTCCTCTAGACCTTCCATTACCTCGTCATCTGAGTACTCTTGCTGGTCGTCGACTTCATCGACAGCCCTTTTCTTCGGTGTCGCATCCTTGGATTCCATCTCCTTGCCCTCATCGTCGAATTTCTTGTTGATCTTCTGAGCCTTCAGGTGCGCTCGGGCCTTTTCCTTTGCTATGCGCTCCTGCCTTTCGAGATCGTACTTGTCGTTGCCAGCCAGTCCATGCTTGATAAACCTCTGCGCTGCGCCTACATCCAGTCGCGCCCTGCCTTCAGCACTACCCATTATGCCTCTGTCCTTGATGTCCTTGATCTTGCTGTTGTACTGCTTCAAGCGCGCAATCTCCTTGAAGACATCGTGCTCCATGGCATTGACGCCCGAGGCCTTGAGCACGGAAAAGAGGATCGCCTCGACAGCATATGCAGACATGCAGTAGAACTCTGCTTTGTCCAGAAGCGGGAGGGATGACGCGGTCGTGTGCAGCGGCGTTGCTAGTAGAGGCTCGAGTGCTGTGGTGAGCTCGTCGATGTTGACTTCCAGGTCCTCGACGAGGTCGGGAAGGTCTGTTTGCGGATCCATGATGATATGGTGATAGTCGCGAATACCGAGCTCGTGTCTTGGGAGGTTGCGACAATTCGCGACAAGTGCGGGTGAAGTTGTTGGAGTCGCGGTCTGGAAACACAAGCCAAAGAAAAGTTGCGGGCCGAGCGTAAACCCGCGCTAGCTCCGGCATCCAAACGTTGGATAGCTCATAGCGTCATTCACTCACCTCCGCCGACTCTGAAATTGCCTTCGCCCTTTGTAGAGTTGGTCGCAATATACACATGTGAATTGCAAATCATTCAAGCTGTCTTTCTCCTCTGTTTCACAATTCCTCCCCAGGCTTCGGCCTCGGATACCACACATAAGAAGAAGATGCGACTCCGGTAGCAATTGCGCGAGCCGGGTGGCTTGCTATCAGACGAGGGGCTTCATGACGAGCCGGAAGAAGTCAGAAAGTGTGGGCGAACAAAACAAAATGGAAGATGGGTGCGTATTCATGGCGTTACTCTAGAACCACCACGACTTACAAGATGCAGCAAGGATAGACCAGATCAATCCGTCCCCTCGCCAGCTTCTCACAACACAGCCGACTTCTACCGCAGACAACCTGTACTCGACCGCCGGATTCATATAATGGGCATTGGAAATGTGGGCAAATTCATTGCGCATGCCCTACGTGGAATACCGAATGCGCCTCCGGTAACGCTGATCTTTGGGGGTTGGGAAAAGTACAACGAATGGAACAATTCGCAACAAAGGCTGACGCTGGTCACCGAAGGTGATGCAGAGATAAGGGATGGTTACGACGCCGAACTAGCAATACCGCGTGTCCGATACCATGGTCAAGAGGTGGGCTTGAATGCTTCCTCTGTAGATGCTCCAGGAGGGCCTCGAATTTTGCCTGGAGAATCAACCGAACCTATCAGCTCGCTGATTATCTGCTCAAAGGCCCCGTTTGTTCTGCAGGCCATCTCTTCTGTAAAGCACAGGCTGCACAAAGATTCTGTGGTGTGTTTCCTGCAAAATGGCATGGGGGTAATCGAGGAAGTCAATAGGGAAATCTTCCCAGATCCAGAGACCAGACCACACTATATGCTCGGAATCAACTCGCATGGCATGCACACTTCGCGAGACGGTCGTTTTACTACCGTCCATGCCGGTTTTGGGACGATTTCCTTGGGTATCCTACCCCACGAACGAGACCGCAACCCCAACGAGCCCTATGTACCCGAGTTGAGATTCACCGCACCAAAAGACAGCAAACCAGTCTATCCCGACGAGCCCGACAAACTGAACCCAGAGTATCCACCCCCGAGCAGCGGCAAGTTTCCCTTTACGCCCAACCAACGCTACCTGCTCCGAACCCTCCTCCGCACCCCAGTGCTGAGCGCAGCCTCCTTCTCACCCCCAGACCTTCTCCAGATGCAACTCGATAAGCTAGCCGTAAACTGCATTATTAACCCCCTCACCGCCCTTCTCGACGCGCGAAACGGTGCCGTCTTGAACAACTACGCCCTGACCCGCACAATGCGCCTGCTGTTGTCCGAAATCAGTCTCGTGATCCGCTCCCTTCCGGAACTCCAGTACATCCCCAATGTGACTCAGCGCTTCGATCCGGGACGTCTGGAAACCGTCGTCGTGGCTGTGGCACACCGCACCAGGGATAACGTGAGTAGCATGCTAGCGGATACGCGCCAAGGTGCACAAACAGAGATTGATTACATCAACGGATGGGTTGTGAAGAGAGGTGAAGAGCTGGGAATTCGATGTGCGATGAATTATATGATTATGCAGTTGGTCAAGGGGAAGAGGATGGTGGTGCAGCATGAAATGGAGGAAGGGGTTCCATTTGTGGAGGAGAAGAAAGGGGGTAGAGCGGAAGCAGACTTGGTGGTGAAGAGGGGTCAGGCGGAAGCTAGTAAGGAAGATGCCCGTGAGAAGGAGAAGTTATAAGGGAATACACGCTTTGAGTCCTGTGGCTACAGTCTTCACATAGTTCGGCCACCTAGCTTCTCAAATACTACCAAACACAACAAATGTAGACAAACAGATAGAAAATGCCCATGAGTAAAGCAGGTAGTCGATGGACAGTGCTCTGCGGCCTGCAGAGCAGGATACGCCGTTGATCGCAGTCCTCACTTCAGACACCATACGCCCATACGAAATGACCATGCCCGTCGCTCAAACTCAATTATGGCCCGCCCGCCCTTCCATCATTCGGATGTCCACCCAAGAGCGGGTAGGCATATATAGCAGAGCATACGCCCCAGGCAAATACAGCAACTACGAGCACGAATCCGATTAGATGCGGCACTGTGCGGTGCGCGAGCACCATGCGTCCATGGCCGTTGATGTTTGGTGGAAAGATGTAGTAACGTCTGGAAGGTGGATAGCCTCGCTGTAACGTAGTGGTAGGGCTCACTTCGATGCCGGAGTCATGAGCAGAGCCGGGTGAAGCGACGCTCCCGTACACGGCGTCTCGAAAGGAAGGTTTCGGTGGTTCATCGCTTCGTGTTGGGTCCATCTGTGAGGTTGTCAGCAATCGAGTTGAGCGAGCAGAGTTACATGCTTGCGTATCTTACCTCATCCGCCATAGTGTAGCATTGTCTACTGGATAATTTACACGTGGAAAGGTGTCTAACTCGCTGCGAATGCTCGAGCTGGTAGCTGTCCCGCGTGAAAAGCAAGGCCAAGCAAAGCCGCAAATGTCCGGCGAGTCTGACAAGTGCCCCAAGTGTTGCTCAGCCTCGTGTCAAGAACGCCATGTCTCCTGGGTAGTACCGAGCATCAGCCGGTACGAACGCATAGAGGGCGTTTCGCGGGACGCTGCATGTTGATCAGTGACTAGGATGGCAGCGAGATGGGCGAGGCGCTGCACGGCTCAGCCAAGATGCAGGTGGGTGAGTCTTGGTCTAGTTTCGTGATGCGATGCCCGTCTCCGCAGATCGTCAAAGCCCACACAGCGGCCCCGGTCTCCCCGCCCATGAAACTAGACAAATTGGGCAAAGAGCATGCTGCTAAACTGTAGTATGGCCCATCATCTTTGTGCCATCATCCAAGTCCTTCCTCGCGCAAACAAAACAAAAATATCTCTCTCGGTGATGATTGTGCAGGTCATCGGTTTGCATGTACGCCAACGAGATGATTCGCCTAGTCTAGGCCTTATGCCATGGGAGGCGTGGTGTAACCGTGTGCAGAAAGCGGGGCACGCACTTGATGTGCTGATGCGGCGGAGGACGACTGAGGTCCTGCGCAGAGAGTGCAAGACTCAAGTGCATAAGAGTGCAAACAGGGCCTCATACGACATTTTCGCGTAATTGACGGCCTCCTGATGCGACAGCGCAGAACCCCGCCCGACACATCTCTTTCTCTCTCTCGAGAAGCCTGTGTATTCTGACGACTCGACGTAGGTTACACAGCTTCCGACGACTCGGCGTAGGTTACACGGCATGTTTGCTATCTAGGACCTGCCGTACCTGGGCGTATCCTTGGAATTCTGACTTCATCTTTTCCTTTTCTTCTGGCCGTCTTTGCTCCGTGGCCTCAGCGCTGTTTTGGCGTGAAGATCGAGTCTGTTGATCGTTGTTGCCAGCCATGGCATCAGCCTCTACAGCCTTCTTCGGTTACATCAAAATCGAAGACAGCCCCGAACCAGAGGTACTCGCCGCTGAACTTACCACGCTTCCTGTCAAGCTACCGGCATCTATCAAAACCAGAGATCCGGAAAACTTCCTGAAACGATGCTCAGGTCTTTCCAAGAAGACAAATCATCGATGCGGTGTTGTTATTGGGAAGAAGTCGCAAAAGGACGCTCATCCTACATTCCTGCCTACGTGCAGCTCTCACCGTGATCAGCAAAGCCTTGCTGGATGGTGCCAGTTCATGTGCTCGGATGGAGAGAGGTGCGGAAGGCTTTTCAGATGGCGGCCGTACGTTGCATTCACACGTGAACCGTGCATGGAAGATGTACTAACCAGGTATCTCCGTCTATAGGCCATACTTTGAGCTTTGTGATGATCACCAAGGTCATCCAGATATGCCCTGTTACCTCCTCGAGCAGCTACCACTTGAGCTGCGACACGAAGTCTACCGCTATCTACTGCCTACTGAGTCGATTGGCTCTTCAACTGCTGCTGTTCATCGAGAAACTGACGAGGACCCTTTCTCGCCCCGCATGCTCAACTTGCGTACGAATAACCGCTTCCTGCAGCAATCATCGCCATCCGTGTCTTCAGGTCTTGCGCCACCACTGGTAGCTGCATTTCCCATGCGACTCACAGACCTCCTTCTTGTATCCCGTCAAATCCACGACGAAGTAAAAGACCTGCTCTTCAGCATTGTCACGTTCAAGATTGACGTCCGCAAAGACGGTGCGTTCATGTGTGGTCGTCGACTGTTGGAACCAAAACGGGCAGATGGATCTTCGCATATGATGGCGGAAGAGGCCGACAAAGCAAAAAAGAAGTTTCTGACAAGCTTTGCTTGGGCTTCTGTAAAGAATTACACTGTGGATATCTTACTGGAGAATTGGGGTGATGCGTATCCTCGCATCAATCACGGTCTCAACCCTCCTTGGGATGAGGAGGTCGAAATCTACGACATCAGAGGTAGGTAGCTGATTCATACTCTCGACGTCTCACTAAACGAAGCAGATTACGTCTCTGTGGTCGTCTCCGGCATTTTGGCCAAATCGAAAAAGCTCTTCAAGCTACAAGTCCGACTTGGGCTAGATGATTTCCAGTGGGACGAGTATGAGATTCTATCAAACGCCAAATTGTTGTTTAGCCCGTTTGAGCGATTACGAAATGTACGGCAGCCGAGCATTGGTGGCGTATTCGATGGTCGACCGAATAATAACTCAGTGTACTCCGTGATACCGGGCACTTCTCAGATCTATTCTGCGCCAACAGGTCACTACGAGAACTGCTGCTCAGTGCCCTCGATGCCTACCAAAAAACCAATGCTAGTAGCCGGTATGCCAGCTTTTGATGCTTATGTCGCCGAATGGAAGCACCAGATTTCCTCAGAGAGCTCCAACACCATCACGGAGGAACCGCCTATTCGGAAAATGTTTACCGAATTCCGCAACTTTTACAGTGAACTGGCCACCTACGTACCGGATGTAACGTTTAGGAATGGAAGGCATACTTTCTTGCATCAAGCGAGGGTGGCGCGCGAACAGGAAGACGTCGTAGCATTCCGTGGTATAAGAGATGAGCTGATCCACTACTGGGAGGCTTACAAAGCTGATGAAGAGCGGAAGAAGCGGGAAATGGACAAACACTTGGGAAAGCTCCTCGAGAGCGACATGTATCCTTCGCATGAATGGGAAGATGCGAGTCCAACACGACCTCGGTCGCCATTTGGTCAAACCGCGCAGTCTCCCGTGCTCTTGGATCCTGATAGGATGGCTCAAGAGGGTATCCCTATGACGGGAAACTCTGGCGAATCGAGACCGTATATATTGGACCAGCAGTCAGTTCGACTGTCGCAAAACCTACAGAGTCGCCAACAAGAGGCGCAAAGACAATACGCGATGCGCCTGCAGCAGCAACAGCCGTTGGGCAACCTTGCCGCGAGCAACATGGCCGCGCGCCAAGGACAACAACAGCGCATAATGAGAGTCCAACAACCACAACAACAGTCACAAAACCATACTTCTCCTCTCCCTACTCCTCCTCCTCCTTTCCCTACCTCACAGCGACACACGACCAATGGATCAACGAGCGTCCCAAGAAGAAGTCATCTCACACTCTCAGACTACGCCTTCCAACACCAACAGGTCCTTCGAGCCCAAGCCCAAGCCCAGGCCCAAGCCCAAGCCCAGGCCCAAGCCCAACAACAAGCCCAACAACAAGCACACCAGCAGCTCTATCCACGCCTGACAGGAAAACAGCAATACCAAGCCAGACAACCCGCTCTCTCCAAACAATCCCGCCACTGCCTCGCCAGACTGACTAGACTAAAAAAGGAAGAAAGCACAATTCGTCAACAAGCAAACCAAGTACTATCTTCCTTGCGCACGAAACAGAATCCTGCAGATGCGGCTAAACTGCAGCACAACTACAAGTTACAGGCCCATGGAATGACGCTGGCTGTGCTGGAAGCACAGAGGAAGTATGATGAGGTTGAGAGGGAAAGAAGAATTCTGGAAAAGTGCTTATCGAGGACAACGAACATGGTGGCGATGGGAACGCAGATGAACACCATGATGGAGGTAGGTGCGAGGAAAGATCAAGTACTACTGGATACAAGTGATTTTCTCGAAAGGAAGGCGGATAAAGACTCGTTGGGGTTAAAGGAAGAGGACAAGGGAGATGAGGAGGACGGTTCAAATGTTTTGTTTGACAATGAGGATTTGTACTCTGATCCGTTCCATGATGATACTTCTGCACGGCGGATAAAAGAGGAGGAGGAGGCGGAGGGGGCGGAGCGTGGGAAGAGGGGGCGCGAGTGCGATTCTGCGACTACTATTACTACCACCGTCGACACTACGACTCGAACCCCCGACTCCTACATGCGACATAAAAGTCCAAGCAGCCCGCGCATGTCTGAAGAGAGTCTGGGCGCAGCACAAGGGGGAGTAGATGTAGGTGTACCAGGTCCGTCTGCGACCAAGAAACGGAGGATCGACTCGGGGTACTATGAGACGATGGAGTGTGACATACACTCGAGCTCGAACGACGAGCGGAGACAAGAATCTGTAGATAGGTTGAGGGCGTCGCAACTGCAGATACAGCGTGAGTGGAAAGGTCCGTCCTACATGGGGAAAGGGAAGAGCAAGATGCAAGGTAATGGCGATGCTGAGATTGCGTCTAGCCGGGATTGAACATGCTTGTTGGGTGAGGAGAATAGAATGGCAAGTAAAGGGGACTCTTCAAAAGTGGGTGCGCGCAAGGATGGAAGTGGGTTTCTTGAAAGTGCGGAGCAGGTCATTGGATGGTACATGTTGA